ACATCTGGCGGCTCACACGGCTCCGAGGTCCTGTCCTCCCTCCTCCTCCCCGAGCCGGTCCTGGGACCCTTCCGCTGGACGGGCTGTTTTGTGTTCCCACTGGGACCAGGGCCAGGCAGGTGAGGAGAGCTCTCGGCAAGTTCCCACTTCAACCTGGGGGACACTGTCCCCCGGGCCCAGGATTAGCCACTGTGATGCCACAGGGACGTTCTCTGGAGCTCACACAGCCCGGGACCATGGTGGGCATAGCGCAGTGCGAGAGACGTCACACATTCCTGCCGGTGACCCTCATGAAGATGCAAGAAACAGTCCAAAGAAGAGCAATTTTGGGGGCTGTGACGGTCAATTTTGCATCACTTTGCCTGGGCGCAGGGATGCCCCAAAGGCTGATAAACACTTCCTGGGAGTGTCCGTGTGGGGCTCCTGGGAGAGGCGAGCATTGGAACCGTAGACTAAGGACGACCCCCCGCCCCGCCCCACCCCTTCTCCCTTCCGTTGCAGACGGCAGTCGGCTCTCTGCTGGCGCGGGGATGCCTATCTGCTCCTGCTAGGCCATCGGGCTCCATGTTCTTCTGGGTCCTCAGACTCGGGGCACCGTTCTCAGGCCCTTGGGTCTGGACCTGAACTCACACCTCCGGCTCCTCCAGGCCTCTGGGCTGCAGAGGGCAGGTGGAGGGGCTTCTCGCCTCCAAGGCCTCTTGTGGCCCGGGGCCGCACACAGCCGGACGCGGCCGTCGGCCCAGTGCCCAGCCGCCGAGGTGGCAGGTCCCCCAGTCCCAGCAGAGCCTGGGGACCGAAGAGCCTGCCACAGGTCTTCCAGGTCTGCGTCCTGGGCCAGAGGGACAGCCGCCAGGGACCCCAGAGAGGGCACTGCCTGAGGGACAGGCCCAAGCCTGGCTCGCAGGAGGAATGCGCCTAGAAAGACGCGCTGACCCTCACCATGTTGGACGTGACCTGCCTCGTGTTGGCCCTCTTGCCCTCTCCGCATGCCCCCTGCGCCCCGCTGAGGCACGGCGTGTCTCTGTGCCAGCGCCAAACAGGGGTCCCGCCGGTGTAGAGCAGGTGGGCAGGAGGCTGTGGGCCGCGACCCCCGGAGGCCCCGGCGCCCGCCGTGAGGGACGCACGCTGAGCGTGAACGCCATGTGCAAGGACGGAAGCCGGTCCCGGTTCCCTCTGTGTCTCTTTCTTTCAGTCTTTCCCCCGTGATGCAGGAGCTGGGGGAGAGGTTTCTGTCCAGGAACCTTGTCTTCACAAAGCAAGAACTCCCTGTGCTGTTCCCGAATAACCAGGCCGTCCCATGATGAGGGGATGCGCAGCGATCTGAAGGTCCACCCTCTGATGGGGGGCCCTCCATGGGCCGGGAACCCCCGTGGGACTCGTCTGCGCCTGTGTTCCCTGGCGAGTGGCCATGGAGCTCGGTGTTTTCAAATGCCTGTCGACACGCAGTGGAAAGCGCAGCCTCCAAGGAGGCAGCCGGAACACACGCACACACGTGCCCCTCCACGCAGACACGCACACAGATGCCCACATGCGACGCGCACATGCACACATGGAACATCCTGCCGTGACCATCATTTCTTTCCAAAATCATACATATTTCATTAAGCTTCATGCTGGGTGTCCTCTGATTTATGGTGATTGTCAACAAAAGCAAAAACACAAGATGATTTTAACACTGCAGGAGCTAGGAGTTAACTGGCATGAAATTGTTGTTTTTTCCTTAAAAAAAAAAAAAGGAAGGAGGGTCTGAAACACCGTGTCCCATGAAATGCTTAGGACGCAGACCGGCGGGGGACGGCCACTTCCCACGCCCGTGGTGTCTGCCGCCCGGCGTGACGCGCGTGCCCTGGCCGGCAGGTCCTGCGAGGCCGGTTCCACAGCCATCCCGATTCAGATGAAACGCCTTCAGTTAAAAAAAAAAAAGCCAGCACCTCAATAGTCCCTGATTAGATTTTCATCTCCTGAGCAGACAAATATGAATATTTATCACCATGAAGGCAGACTTTCCTCTTCCCATCGCTCTGATCTTGAATATTATCCACCGCTAATTTTTATGAAAATTTGGGCAACATAATGTTTTCACATAAACTGACAGTTCTTGAGATAATCCCGTTATTGTCTGGGTGAAAATGACAGCTTCCGCTTATTCATGTGTTAACGAGGGATTAAATATTGTTTTTCATCCCTGTAATCTAAGATGGACTGGAAATTAAAAATTGAACATTGTATATTAGCAGGGCTTTGAGGGCCAGAATTTGTTTGCATTCGCTTCGAGAAGACCCGTGAATTAGCAGTTTAACAGTCGGCCGTTTTACGTTGCTGTGGGAGCAGCCTCACTGACGTTCCTAAAATAAATTCATTGTCTCACCTGCCGCACCGAAACGAAAAGACTTCCGTCAGTAAATAAGCCGCAAACAGGCGACAGCCCTTTGCCAAAGAAATAAAATTGCCACGCAATTTATGCTGCGTCCACGTCCAGAACCTTTCTGGGGCCCCGCACGTCGTCACATCCGACTGGAGGAGCGAGCGGCGCACCCTCCCTGTGAACGCCCTGAAGGGTCCGGCCCGCGGCAGCGCGCGCCCAGGGCAGCCGGGACCTCCCCCCGGACGCCATCCCCAGGGAAACACCCAGGCGACTTTTACTGGGTTCATGGCTGGTGTCCCAGGGCAAACCGTGACTTGAGGGGTTTTTGGACAGAAGTGTCCCATTATGCTTCTCAAACTACACACTAAATTTTCTTTTTTAAAAAAATCTCCCCGATCGGCTTGGAAGAATTTTACTTCTCTGTTAGTGGTCTGAGAGGGTGTAGGAGACGGCACAGGTGTTTCTGAGAGGCCAGCTGTCCAAGCACGGTCCTCTGGGTCCACTGGGTAAAGCAGCCCTGAGTTTAACAAGACAGGGCCGACCTGGCCGAGGGTCAGGGTTAGGCGCTCACTGTGTCCCCCCAAATCCACAGGTTGGAGTCCAAGCCCCCAGGACCTCAGGATGTGACTGTCTTTGGAGATGGGGCCTTTAACGAGGTGATTTACGGTAAAAGTCACGGGCAGCCCTGACTGGTGTCCTTATGGGAACGGGACCGGCCCAGCCGGGTCGTGGGCTGCGGCCCCCAGGCCGTGCGGGACCGGACTCCTGCGCCTGCGCCCCGTCTGCGCCCCTCACGCAGGCGGTTCCAGGGAACTGACATCGCTGGCCAGGGAACAACCCCTCGCCTGTGCCAGCCCACGCCCGCCCTTTTCCGTGATGGCAGGGAGGTGCCTACCACGCTACAGGGGAAATGGGTGACATTTTTAGTGTTGCGTTAATTCTAGGTGCTCATGAATAGAAGAAAGTTACTTCTTAGAGACATTTTAGCTTTATGTTCTCATAAAAAAACAAACAAACAGAGTTTAACCCAATAGGAGGGTCTGTACACACAGAGGCATCATTAGCCTTTTAACGAGGTCCTTCGTTTCTGTCACACAGGGGGAGGTTCCTGTTTGCAGGTGGGCTAAGGCCGGTGAGCGGCTTCCTTCCGGCAGCGGGTGCCTTCGTCCAGCCCAGGCGGGTGGGGGGCTCCCGGGTCTGCGATTACAAAGCGTGTCCTGCAAACGGGAAGTGCAGTCCGATGCTGGAGGACGGACCCCTGGCCGTGGGCTTGGCCCCGTCCAGTCTCCTCTCCAGGGAGGTGTGGCCTGGACCCGGACGGGGACAGGGCCCAGCCTGGGGCCACCGTCAGCTCGGGGTGGCGCCGGCCATCGGCCGTCAGTCTGGTCACGGGCGGGCGCGTGCAGGCGACGGTGGCCTTACGAGGAGCCTTGCGGAACCAGACCCAGGTCCAAGGCCACAGCATCAGCCCGGCCACACTCGCCTCCGCTCACGCGTCCACCGCCGCACGGGCGGCGGGTCTGTTTCGACGTGCAATTTTAAATTTCGCATCTGACTCTACTTTACGCTCCCTTGATTTCACACCTGTGTTCAAGCCTTTAAGAAAAGCTCATGGACTAAGCAGAGGGGGAGGTTTTGCATCCATGGCCACGGAGAAACAGGCCGCGGAGCGCGCGCTTAGTGGGGATGGGGCCACGGGACCCTCCTCTGGGGTTTCAGTCACCACAGAAGCAGCGGGCACCGTGGCGGAGGGGTCGGGGCGGGGTCTGCGAGGTCGGTGAGGCGGCCGGCGTGGGGAGGAGGCGTAGGGTGCCCGCCGTGGCCCAGGCTCGCAAGCCGCTCGCTCGGCCACCCACTGAGTCCCTGGTGCGCGCCCAGCACTGAGCTGGATGCGGGAGACACGGCGTGACTGAGGCGCCGCAGATTTTACCCTGGAGCCCACAGGTTAAAAGGACAACGGACGTGAAATCCCCCGACGGGACACTCGCTGATGGACGTGGCAGCAGAGACGGGGTGGCTGGGGCTTCCCCCCCACGGGGCTGAGGGGCAGCCGCCTGCCCGTCTGCCCGAGAACCAGGGCTTTGAATTGGTCAGAACGGCCCCCACGCCTCCCGCCTGTGGGGTTGTTAACAGGGAAAGAAAGGGGGTCTCCAATAGCTACGTTCTTGGTGGAGTGGGGAGGGGTGGCACTAGGTTATGGGTTGGATCGTGTCCCCCAAAAGATGCACTGGGGTCCTGGCCCAGGGCCTCGCTGTGACCCTGTGTGATGGGGGCCTTCTCAGCGGTGAGGGGCTCCCAGGGAGGTTGTGGGCGGGCTGGTCCCACGGCAGCACGTCCCTGTCCGGGGGCTGGACTGGTCGACCTCCACGGTCTCAAGGACCCAGCCGTGCTGACACCGGGCCTCAGACTTGAGGCCTGAGCGGGGGCTGCAGCCCTCGCACGGTCTGAGCCCAGCCTCAGGGGCACGCACTGGCCCCCCCACCTGAGACTCCGAGGCAGGAGCGCGGGACACGGCCAGCAGCCAGCTGGGGCTCCGGGTGCACACGGGTGTGTCCGGGGGAGGCCAAAACCTGCTCTGAAGCCTGTCCCGTGAGCGAGGGGCCTCCGGCGGGCAGAGCTCACGGCCGCTCTGACTTCAGAGCTGCGGGGGCAGCTCGGGGATGGAGGCCCGGGCCCCATCGGGCTGCCGGGAGGGGAAGCCTGCCGCTGCGGCGTCGCCCAGCTTCCCTGGGTCTGCTTCCCCGTCTGGGAGCTGTGTCCGCCTCACAGGCACAGAGGACGAGAGGTGCGCCTGCGGGAGTGACCGGCAGGTGCCGCTGGCCGCCCCTGGCTGCTCCCAGGACGCGGTGGGGTCGGCCTGTTTCCCTCTCGTTTCTTCACCTCCAAGCGATTCCAAGTCTTAACGGCTGAAGGGCGGAAAAGGGGTTCCTGGAATGTTACGTTCCCAGGGCCCCGATGCCACATGCCCGGCCGTGCAGGGGACGCGCTGGGGACCGGCTCACACCTGATCGAGGGGTCCCTCCGCTTCTCACGGGGACCCCGCCACGCCCGGCCTAGGCCAGTCGCGGCCCTGGGCGGCGGGAGGCACACGGAGTGTGCATTTCTATAAAAACACAGGTGAGAATGTGAGAAAAGGGCAGGGGAGGCGGGGGAGGCAGACATTACTCATTTCATTTTACGTGACTATTTACTCCGATACTGAATAAAAATTGAATTTGTCGCTATGGTAACTGCCGCATCACTCGGCGCCCCCTGGCTCTCGGGCCCAGAGGCACGTGGACAGGCCCCGTGGGCCCACGTGATGCTGCCCTTCACCGGGTGCCCCAGGAGACAGGCGCGTCGCCTCACAACAAACTCATATCCGTCGACGCGTCAAGTGCAGGTAATTATATCGAACACGTTTCTGTGTGATGTCCTTCCCTTCTGAGAAACAGGAAAACAGAGTCACGACAGGCGCGTCCGGCAAAGGTGCGAAAGGTGCCCAGGGAGGGGCTGAGCTCGGGGACCCGGACCTCGTTTGCCCACCACTCAGCACCGGGGGGTCGTCGGTGGGCTGAACACGGAACCTTCGAGGGCGGCCGCTGCAGGCACGTTAATGCAGTTTCATCAGATGTCCTCTCAGACGCTGGCAAGCAGGCTTTCCTTAGGGGCGCTGTTTGCTTCCAGGAGGAAAAAGTTCAGTTTTGTCTGTCAGGAAACTCAGGTCACAGTACAACAAGGTGCTGGGCAGAAAGGGCAGCGCTGGGAACCCAACTCCCGCCGTCGCCGAGGACGCAGCGCTCGGGGCTCAGGACAGAGCCGCCGGCCCTTCTGTCCGCAGGGCTGTGGAGCCCGGCCGCCGCTCTGGAAGCGTGTTGAGGGCTCCCGGGTCCCCGGGCGCCACGGATCCCCGGGACTGGGGGCCGTGCTGGGTGCGTCTAACGTACCTGTTTCTGGGGAGAGGCCCATGGCCCTCCCGGGTACCCAGGCGCTATGGCGGCCGGCATCCTGAGGCTGGACGTGGGGGAGCCCAGCGTGGGGCAAGGGTCCCGGGTGCGTCTGGCTGGGGCGTCCGTCCCAAAGCTCTCTGTCTAGGTCCGCCAGGCGCTGTGGACCTGTCCCCTCGGCGTTGCACTCGGTTTATGTCCTGAGCTCCCCTCCACGTTTAGAGTTTTTGAATCACTTGCAGCGAAACCATTGGATCCCGTTGATTTGATTTGTGATGGGAACAGTTACTTCCCTGTGGTTTTACACTGAGGCCGCTTGGGCTTCTCTCAGAGCTTCGCGGTGTTCCTTGTCTCGCCTGGTGAACGGCCCCCTCGAAGTGAATTTCTTGGAGGGCGATCATCGGGCGGAAGGGGACGGACGCCGCCATAAAAAGAGCTGGTCTTCATTACAGAGACCCAGACTCGCCCCCATCGGGGGCCCCCGTGAGGTCAGTGAAGGATGGATCCCACAGGCTGCCCGCTGGCTGGCTGAGACGGCCTTCCTCCACGCTGCGGGCGGCGCGCCCCGCGCCTCACGGCCTCGCCCGAGGGCGCCCGTCACCCCCGGCCCTGCCGGCCCCAGGCTGCCCGCGCGCCTGCTCCTCCCAGCACCCCAGGGACCCGGTGCGCGGCGGGGCGGGCCATCCCTGCCCGCGTCCCCTGCCCGCTGACCGGTCCCAAGCCCGTGTGAGCACCCAGGCTCCGTCAGCACAGCGCTGAACGAGGGGCTCTGGCTTTGATCGCAGCTACTTGAAGTCACGGCGTCTTTCAACAGACAGGCAAGGACCACCTGGGACCTGGGAGGGAACGAGGCTGTGGGTCGGCACCATGCCCACTCGGTCTCCATGGTGACAGCGGTCCCGTGGCCACAGCCCCCGCCCGTCCCGCGCAGCCCAGGACAAATCCGCACCACGTTGGGGAGCGGTGTGGTCACAGCCTCACAGGCTTTTAAGGGACCTGGGGATCAGCCGGTTCTTCGCCACCCAATCTCTCTTTGACCGAGGTCCTCCTGGGAGCCCATCGGCGACGGAGCCCAGAGCAGCCCATGACCCGGGTTCACGCCCCACCTGCCTCACGCGAGCGACGCCCTCAGACCCCGGGCTCTTTGGAGACTCTCTGAGAACCAGGGATGTGCCCAGGGAGCTGTCCCCGAGGCGTGGCCCTCGGCCGCGAGTGTCAGGCTGCAGGGGCCAGCGAAAGCGCCAGAGGCGGGACGGCCTCCCAGTGCCCTCACCCCAAGGCTGGGGCTCCCCCCTCCCGGCGGGGGGCCTGGGCCTGCCGTCCCGTGGCCCGTGCTGCCCCCGGCTGCGCCCCCAGACGCAGCCCGAGCTCAGGCCCCACTGCCTCTCTGGCACCACTGCCTATGACCTCTTACCGGCCTCCCGAGAAGGCCTCTGTCCACACAGCTCACAGCAAACCCATGTGCTCTCCTCCCGCCCCGCGTCCAGATCCAGAGGGGACTGTGAGGTCCAGGGCAGCTTTCTCCTCCTCCCGCCCCCTCGAAGTGCGAGGCAAGGGCCTCCGCGGGGCAGGGCCCGCGGCAGGGAGAGGGCTGCAGCCTAATATTGGGAAATAGTCAAGGAGTATGAATAAGCCTTGAGCAGCATCAAGTTTATGATGGTTCAAAAGATAAAAGTACCAAAACCATACTGAATGCCCAAGACAGGGAGACAAAGATTTAAAGATGCAAGAAGCACAGATTTTTCTAGACGTGCAACACACAGGAACAGACAGGTAACGTGTGAGTTTTGCAGCAGGTTAGACGCAGAGGGAGACCGGCCACTGAGAGTGGCCGCCTGTACGGTGCTGTGCCCGAGGCGGCAGGGCCCTGAGCTCGACTGTTTCCCATGTGACCGCGCAGACTGGCCTCGGGCCACGCCGACCCAGAGCCCGCCACGGGCCCGCGCGCCTTCCATTGTCCGGGGACCTGACGCAGGCCCCGCCGGGCCAGGCCCCCGGGGTGGGAGCCACGGCCAGAACGGCCGACGGAGGGTTTGCTCAAGGGCCTCCTCCTGCTCACAACACAGCCCCGTGTGCACGTGACTGCTCTGCGGTAGGTTTACACGACCTCACGGAATCATTCATTCTCTTCTCTTGCCTTCCCCCAAATAGGCCCTTAAATAATTAAGATAAACGTGTGCCCTCCTGAATCCCCAGGGGCAGGGTAATTTCCTTGGCTTGCTCATGGCCATAAATTAACAACTACGGGGGCACTGAAGAAGCACCTTGTTTCTCTCGTCCACGACCACCTCTTCTCAGGGAGACGTGAATTACGATTTCAAAGGCAGCCAAGCAGTGTCACGTTGTCCCGGCACCCGCACCAGCACGTCACCCGCTGGGACGGCCAGACTGACTGGCACCAGCCAGCTGGCCTCCCCGCCGTCCCGCGGCGCTGTTGGACCGACCGCGCGCGGCAGGCCGCCCCCTGGCACCGACGCGTCCCCGAGGGCAGCCCTCGGCTACTCACCGCGCCCACTCCGGCCTGAAGGATCCTCAGCCCGGACGCTCTTTCCAGGTCGTCCTTGTTGTCGACTGTTAGGAAAAACGGAGAAGCACAGGGGTCAGCTCGGGAGGCGGTCGTTCCTGCGTCACCCTCCGCGTTTCCCCCGCTGCGCGGACGCCCGTCCCACACCCGCGCCGGGCACACGCCCGGAGCGGGAGACCCTGAGGCCCGTTCCCACGCACACACCGAGCACAGGCCCCGCACAGGCCTAGAAACAGCATGTCCTGTGGTCGATCTACCCACAGCACAGCACAGCAGGTGGCTTTGGGCGCATGCCCTTGTTTTCCCGCAAGGAGGCCGGGAGCGGGCAGACGTCGGGCTGAGGACCCCCACACCCCCGAGCTCCCCCCGGAGGACACGGAGACTGTCTGTCGAGAAGCTCCCGCAGAGCCTTTCGGGGGCCGTGGGCGCTGCCGTTAGCAGCTCACCCCAGGGCCGTGCCGGGCGCCCACGCCCACCTCCGCAGCTCCCCTCAGGCTCCCGCAGGAGCTCCAGGGCCCGTGAAAGCCACTGCACCCCAAGGGGGTGCTAGCAAAGTGGGGATCCCCCGAAAACCCAGGTTCCAGACCCGCCTTCCGGCTCCTCAGCAGAGGGCACAGCTGGGAGAGACGGGAAGGGCTTCAGCCACATTTGCGGGGCCCCGACAGCGCGACCGCTGGGGACCCGGACCCGCGGCCTCGCCTCCCCCGGCGCCCGCCATCCCAACAGCGCCTGCTTTCACCTCCGCTCTAGTCCTGGGGTGGGTCTTCGAAATGTCTCATGGCGGCGATGACAAAAACAAGAGGCCGTGAGATGTTGCCTTCTTTTGAGAAGGTACCCGCTTTATCCTACACCCGCCTTTCTTTTCTTTGTCACCTTGTGAACGTCTGTGATAAAAACCCTGCCCGGGAGACGCCAGACGTTTGTAAGCTCGGGCCACCCGACGCCCTCCCCGAGGTTTTCCTGCACACCTGTGATTTACGCTTCCCCCGGGACCCCCGCACACAGCCACGCGGACCCGTTTTCACAGACCCTGCTGCTGGGTGGGGCCGGACTCCCCCCGTCCTCCCTCGGACGGCACCCTCCGGCGGCGCGTCCCTCCCCGGGTGCGGGGGTCGCCCTCCGAGGCAGGTGCTTCCCCGTGTCTACCTGCAAACACACCTGACTCTGAAAAGCGGAGTGGCGGGCCACCATTGCCCCTTGGTGACCCCTGTCTCCGTGGAGGCATTTCTGGGGGAAAGGCGAGCCTCGCTTCCGCCAGGTGTTGTGCCAGATGTCGGCCCCGACTCCCGTCCCGGCCGAGCACAGACTCCGAGCTGCGGTGTGAGCCGGCGGGAGAGACACGGAGGTGGCAGCAGCCGACTTAATGAGTCGAGGATGATGCATAAAAGCCCGTTTTTATCTTCACGGAGACACAAAGGGTTTCCAAACACTACAAAGAAGTCCTTTAAAATTAAACTCACTAGATGAAGGATATGCAAATTACCTGGAGAAGCAGAACCCTACAACGTTCTCAAAATGCTGCCGTAGCCCGTTTAATTAATATTTTAATTTATCGGAACACTTCTCTGCACTTGACAATCCGCGCAGCGCCCCAGGTAATCAGGCACGCGCTGCGGCGGAGTGGCCAGCCTGTCTCTCCCATCACTTTAACCTGGGCGGCTGTGTGGGGTCTCCTCTGTGGACTGCGTGGGGGTGGGGACCACGCAGGGGGCGGGCGGGGGCAGGGGGGCGGGCGGGGGCAGGGGGGCGGCCCCGGCCCGGCCCGGAGCTGCATCTGCACGCTTTCCCACCACACACGCGCGTCCTCTCTGCCACTGCCTCCCCACGGGGGCGTCCAGGGAACCTGGTCATGAGCTGCTGTGGCCGTCAGGGGACCGCTGGTGGGCTTGAAGTTGGCACGGCCCCCGGCCAGAGCTCGCCGTGTCACTGTGCAGGGGCTGGGCCGCACGTTCTCCCAGGGGCGGTCCCTGGGAGCTGTGGGGCTGAAGCCGGTGCCAGGGAGGAGGACGGGCAAGTGGGAAGGAAAGTCGATCCTGATGCACCAGGCGCCCAGGCCCCTCCTCGTCCACATCAGGGCTGGGCCGGGGGGTCGGGGAGCGGCCGGGGATGCGATGGCCCTACCAGGGCCACGGGAGAGCTGCTCGCCACCTGCCTCAGGTCGGGGGCAGGTCCTCTGACCTGGGAGAGATGGGCCGGCCCCAGGCTCTCCTGCAGGGTGGCGGGTCCTCAGCCCCTCACGGCCGAGCCCGTGACTCCCTGAGCAGCTGTGAGGGGCGGGGGCAGGGCTGCGGCTTCCTGGAGGGAGCCCCTTCGCCGAAAGGCCTGGAGCCGAGCAAGGGCCGGACGTGTCTGGAGGTGCCTCTGTCACTCCGGGGAGCCCCTCAGGAAGTGGCCGAGGGCCAGCTCGGAGCCTTCGCTGTGGAGGGACGGCTGGGGGGTCTAGGGGGTGCAGCCGGGGCGGGAGCCCTGCCCCAACCCCGTGCCAGGGGCAGGCGCCCACTGAGAGCCCGTCTGCACCTCACATCACCCTGAGGGGTCACTGTCTGTTGTCTGGAGGAAACCCTTTAGGATTAACTTAAAGGAGAACCTGTCAGTGACAAACCCATTGCTGGGAAGGATCCTTACTACACTCATTTTTTTAAGCCTTCACGTTGAAAGACACTTTCTCTCGGTGCGGCTCCAGGTCAATGATGGGTCCCCACAGTGGCATGGAGACACCTCCCTCCCGCCTTCTGGCTCCGTTCTGGCTGCTGAGAAATCGGCCCGAGTCAAGTCCTCCCCCGCCGGAGCGTGTGGCTTTCCTCCTTGGCCGCTTTGGAGAGCCCTCTTCTTCGGGAGGCTCCGAGCCTCGCGCTGCGAGCCTGGCTGGAGACGTGCTTCCACAGACAGGCTTCCGGGCCTGAGCCCCGCGCCTTCCGTCAGCGGCAGCCAACGTGCCGCCGTCGCCTCAGGCGCGGCCTCCCGACGGCCTCTCCTCTCCTGGGGCTCCCACTGGGCGCACACAGGGTTTCTTACTTTGCTTTCTAAGCCTCCTTCCTTTTAAAATTCATATGGATATTTTCATCTCTTTAGTCTGCATTCTGGATAATTTCTCCAGTTTCTCTCTTCGTTCACTAATTATCTCTTCAGCTGTATCTGCTCTGTGTTTACACTCATCCCTTGAGTTTAAGCTTTAATTGCATCTCTCGTTTTACATTGTGTTGATTACAATTTTTCAGTCATTTTAAAGCTCTTAACCTTTGGGTCATATTTTTCCTCCCTCTTGTTGTCCCTTCTACATATAAAAATACTTCTATTTCTGTGGTAGCCCATTTGTCACACTACCCGACGTTTATGGGGTCCGTTCTTCCCGCCGCCCCTTCCCCAGCACGTTCTGAAATTTCCTGCCGTGCGCCCCTCTTTCCCAGGGCTTTACCCTCTGAGGGGACCCTCTGAGGACAGGGAGGTGGGTGCCTTCAGGCAGAACGTGCCTGTCCTCCCCCGAAGGCTCTGGACGCCCTACCCACTCGGGACCCTCGGACACTGAACTCCTCGCTTGGGGCTCAGGGACCCCGTGGGTGCTGCGCAGGGGGACGGCCACGCCTATGGGGGCTGACGTGGGCTCAGCGCCCCCGACACGCAGCGGCCGCGCTGAGGGCAGGACGCCCCCCCCCGGGTGCATGGGGCACTGGGCTGTCGCCCTGAGGGGCCCCCGCTGCCTTCCCCCCGCCGCGCCCCGGGGCTCGCCTCCTGCCCGCAGTCTGTGAGGTCAGGAACGCTGAGGTTCAAGGCCAGCCTGGCTGGGAAAACACCCTCCAGCTCCAGTCGACATCAGCGTCCACGTGTGGGTTCCTGCTTTCACGTAGACTGGGACCTTCAAGAATTTCACCATCTCCAGACGATCAATATGTTTTGAACTGTGTCTCCCTGCCTTCCCGTTCCAGCATTTCCAGGTCTTTGCTAAGTGAGGGTCCGTCCCAGCACCTATGTCTCCTAGTGCGTTGATGGAAACAGGGAAACCCCCAGCAACCCTCCCAGAAGCACCCCCATCAGCCGCTCTGTGCTCACAGAAGAGCGACTTAATGTGGGTTCAAGCAAAACCCTGTGGCACACGTAACAGCAAAGCTGTAAAGCATTAGGGATCAAGCAGCTGCACGTTATCCTGAACGTAGGTAGCATTGACGTGTGTATAAAGTCAGCAGATTATTTGCAGTGTTTTATGTGGCCGCAGGAACCCCACGTATCGTGGAGGAGAGAGACCAGGGACTGGCCCCTTGCACGGCGCCTCAGGGTGTGGGCCCCGCTGCAGACTCAGCCTGTGCCCGGCAGCTCCGGGGCAGAGCCGGGCGGGGGCAGCAGAGCGCCCGCTCTGCCGACACGACTGTGCCCGGGGCGGCCGCAGGAGGGAGAGCCAGGCTCTCCAGGACGCCGCGGAGCCCGAGGCGGCGCGCACTTCAGCGCCACACGCTGCCCCCCCTCAATGGTCTCTTGTCTGAGAGAGAGGTGAGGCCCCTGCAGCGGGCCCCCGAGGCCTCTCAGGCCTGCACCGGCCGGCGCTCCCCCCGCAGACCCCTCGACTCCGCACTCGCAGGCGGGCGCCCCACAGCCGGACGCTCCCGGGACGCTCGGGGGGCCCACCCCGCGCGCCCACCCCCTGCAGAGAGGCTCTGGTCCCGGGTGCCCACCCCGCCTGCTCGCACAGGGCCACGGCCGCAGGGCACGCTGCTGCGCGCTCTTTGCCGTTCCGGACCCGAGGCTCCTTCCTTTGAAGCCCTGCAGGAAGGGCAGGCACCGAGCGCGTTTGAGCCTCAAATGCAAACGTTTATGCGAGAGTCTGAGGGGTTTTCTCTCCTTGGAAACGGAAAGGTCAGTTTGTCAAAGCCACGCCTCGGTTCCGAGAAAGGCCCTCAGCCGGCCTCCCAGCAGCACCGAGTAGGCGGCGAGGCTTCGGTCCGCCGGCTCCCCCGCGAGGCCTCCCGAGGACAGGGCGCCGGCCCCGCGGGAGCAGAGACGGCTGCGCGCTAACAGCAGCGACCGGCAGCGAGAGCGCGTGTCGGCTCCAATTTCC